ATCACATACATTGACCAATTTAGGAACTATCAATATCCTTAACTGTAAGTAACAGAAAATGCAGACCCAAGACTGGCTTAAGTATTAATTTAAAAAGTTATTCTCTCACATAACAAAAAGTCCTAAGGTAGGGCAAATCTATAGATAGACTTGATTCTGACAACCTCAGAGGAATATCTTTCATGTCTCTCTTTTTACAGTTTCCAAGAAAGTGCCCAGAAAAAAATCTGCACACATTCATTTGCTAGAATGTATTACATATGGGACCACCCACCATGATTGGCTTAGACCAGTCATTAGTGTTCTTAGGTCCATAATGGTATACAAATCCTCTAAAGCACACGTCTACTGGAGCACAGCAGAAATCCAAACAAAATTAGCATCTTAGAAAGGAGAGAAAGGTGAATGCTTATTGTCAAGGCCATCAGCAGTATCTGCTGGAAGAAAAAACTATGAAAATATCAGTGCTTCCTCTAAGACCAAAGCTAATACTGATATCCAAGTTCCAAGATCTCCATTATGGCTGAAGAAACAGACTCTCAGCCTTGGCTAATTTCCCCTCAAGTCACAGGTGAAATTAAGAAAAAAAACAGAACTACTTTAGACTCTGGATATAAAAGCCAAAGCACCATCATTATGCCATATGCAGCCTGTTTCTTCAATTTGCATAATTATAAACTCCCCCTCAAAGAGTAAACATTGCTGCCAACTTAAAAAAAAAAAAACAACCTACAAAGCAGTATTAAATATGCATTGCTAATTTGAGTTTCTAATTTGTCTGGGATCTTCACAAAGGCAGGAGCAACTCACAGATAGTGAGCGCTTAATAAAACATTCCGCCTGTCGCAAAAGAAGTCAACAGGGAAAGAAAAGCTAGATATTGGGTACAGGGATATTTAGTGAAATAATTTCTTCAGGTTATGCCAGAAAATTACCTATCAGACTTGATTCTATTAACCTGGCTCTTCAATTTATTCTTCTATGCACTGACTACTCCCATTCAAACACAGACAATTGCTTTGTGCAGCCAAAGTAAATAACATTTCCATAAGATGTTTTAAATGTCAGCTGTGAGCTAGACATATATTTGAACAATTATAGAAAGTGATTGGATTGGCACACAAAGACTTTCTTGTCCCCCAAGTCATTTTTATTGATCTATCTCAAATATCCATGACAATTCCTGAAGGGTATGAAATCATCTACTGGACCCCACAAAAAGGTATAAACCTAAGACTTCAATGGAGGCCACCCCAGTGTCCTGTCATCTGACCAACTTTTCATCATAGCACGCAGAGGTACAGGAGTGGCTTCTGGCCCAGGTGCTATCGTTCAGTTTGATCCCGGCTGACAAAGCCTGCTTGAATTCTTTTCTGATATAGCACAGCAGTGGCACCTAGACAAGATGAAATAACAGCCTGTTGATACATTCTTCAATTTAAGTTCATCAGTTGATGACAGTGATGATCAGGACCCAGGGTATAGATCCATATAGACATACATGTCTTCCTGAAGTTGTACTACAGATTACACATATAAAATATGTATATGTATCATATGTATGTGTGTGTGTTCATGCTTTGATAAATGGCTTTTTTTAGCTCAACTATGCACTATTAAGTGTTGTGTGTTATGTTGTGTGCATCATTTCTTACTGTTGACTAGCATTGCATCTCAGGTATTAATGGTGCTCTACTCAATGCCCTATTTTTTAAAAATACAAAATCTGTCATTTGTAGTTACAGTTTCACCATTTTAAACTATACAAAAGCATTCTTGCACACACAAATTTTTCTCTACACACATGGTTGCCCTTAGGTCATGTTACTCGGTCTGTGAGGGGTCCCCTCACTCTGTCTAAGGGAGAGTCATCAAGGGCTAGAATCACAACAGTGTCCCTAGGCTGCCGGAGCTCAGCCCTTCTGGGTCCTCTGGACATACTTGTGAGGCCACAGGTACCTGCTATAAAAAGGACAGGGGAGATGACAAGGAGAAAATGGAGGCGGGTCAATAGCAGTAAGAGAATTGCTACTATGATAAACAAGCAGCATAGTTCCTCATACTAAACATATAAACTTAACTAATACTTAGTGCACCTTTGTCTAGACTATAAACCTGCTGAGAGCAGGAGCGAGCTCTGTTTGTGATGGTTGTTGCTCACCAGCACACACCCAGCGCCTACCAGGTGTATATTACTATGTGCATGCATTTGAAAATAAAAATGAATTGATGGTGTAATTTCACGAGGATTTATGGAAAGATTATTCAGATATATAAATTTCAGTAAGATATAAAGAATGAGAATGATTCGGGACATAAGCACAGCATCAATCAAGTCTGCAGTCCCACCCAACGACTTGACTAGAGATGGCTCCATTCACAGGCTCCCACTCATGGTCACTGGTCACATTCGGGTCCTGGGGGTACTGATGCACTGTGGGTCTCAGCTCCATAAAGTCTAGGATCCACAATTTTAGGAATGATATGACTTTTGTCTCTCTGAGACTGACTTACTTGCTTAATATGATTATCTCCAGTTGCACCCGCTTTCCTGCCAAGGGAAGAGCTTCATTCTTCTTTATGGCTGAAAAAGATCCACATGTATATGTCCTGCATTCTCTTTAGCCATTCCTCTAAAATCATACTTTTAAATGCTTCCTGGGATTAAAAACCATGTAAATGTTCAGATGCTGACTCCAGAAGAGGTAGGAAATTCATATGCATGGTAACAAATATTTAATACACGATCATCATGATGAAAATTAAACTTTCCACCTGGCTCCAAATGCTCCACTCTCCTCCCCTAAAACAGTCACTTGCATTTGTTCAGAGAAAGTTGATATTCATACAAATTCACATACAGATTTACTGCTGGTTTGGTTTGGTTTGTTTGAGACTGGGTCTCCTGTAGTTCCAGCTAGCCAGGAACTCTATGTAGACCAGGCAGCCTCTGCCTCTGGAATGCTGGGATTAAAGGATGTGCCACCATGCCCTTCCCTGCCTGTTTTAACCTAATCAGTTCACCCACTATTTGCACCTTTTCTATTACTCACTGATTGTTTCTTTGGGATGGTGTTAGATGGTGTACAATGCTTAATTGATTCTTTCATGGCCACATAGTATTCTATCCTATGAACATGCCAAATGTATATAATCAGTTCCCATAGATGGATATTTTGTTCCCATAGATACGTTATAAAACATGTATCCATTAGAGTATTGTTCTGTAAAATGTTTGAATTTCTCTGATGGTGTCAGGAATTTCCTTCTGGTCACAGGAGAGCTCTGTACTCATTGCTGAGACCAGATTGTGAGAAGCACCACTGGAAAGCAAGGACAGGCCTCTGTATATGCTTCTCTGTGCAATTCTCTTATGTCCTTCTTGCTCCAATACCTGGTGCCTTGGCTGAACAAACCCTACATCTATAAAAAGCAAAAATATATACAAATTTCCTGAAACACTAGAGGAATTAAGAGCTCATCATTCATCTTTGTCCTTCTCAATGCAAGTGTGAAAATATGGACAAAAGTTCTGCCATTGACCAGATACTAGGTTTTATCCCAAACATACATATCCTCCAGCAGTAGCAGCACAGTACGGTGGGGAGCATCAGTTGCACTTAACTTGTGTGGGTCAGTTCCCAAATCTAGACACTGTCGCCAGAAATTGGGAGACTAGATGTCAGCAAGGCACAAAGCACAGGACCTACTCCGAGGTGTTCAAGCACATCCTTCATCTTCATGGCTTACCTGGTTCTGAACATCCTTGCCTCTCGTCTCTTTCCCCATAGGAACTAGACTATGATTCCATCCATCTCTAACCTTCTCTAGCTTTGTGACTTGTCTCACATGTTGGAGCATGAGGTCTGGCTCAGGTTCCTGCCTTGTTTTGTTTGACTTGTCCTGTGAGATCACTCAGAGCTCTGTATATATGGAAATTTGCCTTCCCGATGCCTCCTGAGGGTGTAATTAGCAGCTGCCTAATTGAAATGGCACAGGAAAGCACAGAGCATCTGGCTGGGGGTGGGAGGCAAACACACACACTGAAATCTTGGCCTCTGAATTCTCATGGGCAAGATTTTTGCAGGGTGGACATGGAACTAACTAGGTTGACCAAAGTTTCCCAGTGTCAAGTGCCACAGGCAAAGGTAAATCTGCATGATAACAATGCCAGTAATAACAGGTGAGGCCACCTTTGAGTCCTCCTTTACTGGAGTCTGTAGGAAGCAAAGATCATGGTGACTAAGGGCTAGGATTTCAGCTCAATTGATGGTGTTTGCCTAGCCTGTCGTGACACTACGAGTTTCATCTTCAACACTGTACAAACCATGCTTGCTACACTAGCACTTGAAAGGTGGAGACAGGAGGACCAAAACTTCAGTGTCATCCTCAACTACATAATGAGTTCAAGGTTAGCCTGGGCTACCTAAGACCCAATTTCAGAAAAGAGTATGGGGGTAGTCTGCCTGGGTTGGAAGGCCATCTCCAGCCTCTTGAATATCAGTTATACTACTTACCAAACACAGAATACCTGCACCTACCTCACAAAGTTGTTCTACAAATCAAATGATGTAACACACAAAAAGTATGCAGCCAGTGCTTGGCACATAAGCAGATCATACCAGTTGCCTCCTCCTCCAGTAGCCCCTGTAAGATTGTTTCTCCCAGTTTCGTAAAAGCACAAAGT